TTCTTTATATTTTAAACATTTAACATTTTCTAAACATGCAGATTATGTAACTGATATAATCTGATGAAGCGAATGAGTACATACTTTATACTGTAAAAAACTGTTATACGTACTTGGGAAAACTTAAATAAAACATTTTCTTTAGATTTTTTCATTTTATAGCAGGTTTACTACACTTATTCATGACTTTTATGCAAATTAATAAATAAAAAACACTGACTAGGACAATTAACGCCGAAATATTTAAATTTGGAAAAAGTTTTGACAGCTCTTTAACAACTATGAGGGGGAAGTGGTGTCGCTTTTTTAATGGCATGTCAACTCCATATTATTCAACCTCATTGATTTTGTATTAATCTACAGCACTGGTTCACATCTATGAATTTTTACTTTCATTCTCACCAACTGCTGATATGTTAATTTGGTCACGTGGGATACGAGTATTGTTGAAAACCCTGTACTCTGTTTTTGGTAAAAGAAACGATTGAATCAAGAAAATCATTTACTGCAATTTATCATACAAGTCACTGGCACAATATATATTTATCCTAAATGCGACTGATATGATATCGGATTGATTTTATCTTATTTTTACTTCCGAAAAGACGAACTAAAAATAGATTTAAGAAGGATGCTGTTAATAAGCAACATATCTGTAAATCCGATTAGAAAATTAGATTGCATTTGCGAGATAAATAATTAGAAACTGCATTAAATGAAGACGCGAGGCCAATTAATTATAATAGTTTGTAGGTACGCGTTTGTATAAGCGTGGTCAAAGGAGCGGGATGTATTCGCGCCGAACCATTCCAGTCAAATGAACAGGAATTAGTACATAAAGTAGGTACAAGGTAACTATTCATTGAACCAAACCTTTCCAAGCTAGGTTTGTTTTATGATAGTCATTGCGATTTCAATCATGAAAGTTCTTTCACCGTTTAAATATAACTTATTTCTGCTAGCGGATTCAGAGGATTACTGAATTAGAAAACAGTAAGCACGTAAGGGCTAACAAAAATTCCCACCTTTAAAAAAAAACATTGCGGTTAACGTAGATAGGTACTGTAGATTGTTTAAGGCACAAGTTTAATGGTTACTGGTAGGATTAACTGTGTTACTAAAATAATATATTCTCTTCTATTTACAAGAGATAATTTAGTGATGGCAGCAAATTTAAAATAATGGATAATAATTCGTTTATAGATTTTGCTACATTGAAAACAATATATTTATATCTATATATTTATTAGTATTGTTATAGATTAACAGAAAAATTTATCAATAGATCAATAAATGTTCGAAAAATGTCAAATCTATGAAATTATTTATTTAAAAAGAATGTTTTTGTGATTAACGACAACTTAGGTACGACTCAGCTGTCTTTTTTTAGAACTATTCTAATTATAGGCAACATTGCTTTATAATCCTTGCGATTTCTGGAACTGGGCAAAGTCTGGGATGGAAACAAACATTTTATTTAAAACTAGAGTTGGACGATCACGACTTTTAATATATTAGGGCTTCCCAGACAAAATCGAAAATTCCGCGACGACCGCGAATATTCGTTGTGTCAAATACTGCGACAAACTTACATATTCAGATTAGAGCGAATTTTATCGCTTTAGAATTAATTGAATGCTAGTTTATTAACTATTTTGCTTAGAATTTTTCATCACGGATTCACAGCGAAAATTCACATTGGTGTGGTGAAATCTTTATTCACATATTCAGATTATGAAAAGATTACCTACGTATTATGTTATAGCACTACATTAATTTTGTGATTTTAGTAGTTTATTTAACGAATTCTTTTAAAATAAACTTTTTTGACTTGCATTTTTATAAAAGCTGATATTTTTAAACACAAATTGTAAAAACTTCTTGACTAAATTCATTTTTATTTTTGTTTTATCGGAATACCCTACAAACAATTTTTTGTTTATATGATTAGTGTATCGTCGGCCTAATTGTAATACCTCGTAAGTCAAAAATATTAAAAAAAATAATCTTAGGTCTTTAACTAATAGCTATAAACCATTTCTTTTTTCTTCCAAATTATAAATGGTCATTGAATTGGTCTTTGAAAATGAAATCTGTTGCATTTCATTCCACTAGAAAAAGTGAAATGATGGAGAGTGGGGCACACGCTCAGTCGGTTTCTGGGGTTAAAATTCACTCGTAAGGGAGTGAATTATAGGAAGAGTAATATTATTAAGTGGAGAGAAAGGTTTCAGCTTAGATTATAGAAGGTAATCTGAGGGTTCAAAAATCTATAATTTTATTAAAAATGTAAAAAAAAATTTAGTTGGAAGAAACCTGGGTGAACAACGCCCTTCCTCAGTCTTTTTTCGCTTCTATTGAAAGAAGAGGAATCGACAAACTAACTTGTAATTGGATCAAAATCATGCTGGAAAACCGGAACATCACTTCATCACTGCAGGGAGAGACTGTCACTTTTAGGCCTGCCAGAGGATGTCCAAAAGACGGCGTACTTTCACGACTAATGTGGACCATTCTGGTGGATAACCTGCTAGACGATTTCTCCCGGCAGGGGGTGGATTTCCAATGCTTTGCGGACGATCTGGTTATCTTAATTAGGGGAAAGTTCGAAGAGGTGATCTCCAACATCCTTCAACAAGCCCTTAATACGATCAACAGATGGTGCGAGAGGGAGCAGATGTCTGTTAACCCCCGCAAAACTGTTATTGCCCCCTTTACCAAGAGAAGAAAGTTCGACAAGCTTCGACAACCTACCTTGGCTGGGGAAACCATTCCTTTTGCGGAGGAGGTGAAATATCTGGGGATCACCCTGGATAAGAAACTTACCTGGAACCCCCAATTGGATAAAACCATTAACAAAGCCAGATATCCCACTGGACCCTTAGAAGGATATGCGGCAAAGCATGGGGTATCAGTCCTCAACCATAAAAGTGGTAAAATCCATGGTTACGTACGGCTCTGTCATCTGTTGGGACAAGGGACTTCAACGGACGGCCAGAGCAAAGCTGGCTGGAATACAGCGGCTTGCGTGCCTAGCCATAACTGGAGCAATATCAACCACGCCTACGGGAGTCATGGAGACCATGCTGGACCTAACCCCTCTCTACATTCTGCTGGAAAGGGAGACCAAGAGATCTTCTACAGACTCCTGAAGGTGGGTAGTCAATGCTACGAAGAACTGCGATGGGACAAGTCGGGGCTGATGAGTGAAATTAATAATCACCCCATCCTCGGCATGGTCTCGGACTCGCCAATTCCCCGACAGAACATAGAAAAGCCATACAGCGTCCTCATCCCAGAGAGAGACTCATGGAGCAGAGGGGAAAAAACTTCTCCCAGGCAGACTATGCGTTGTACACGGACGGCTCCAAAACTGAAAAAGGAGTAGGAGCAGTAGTTTTCGGCCAGAGGCCTAGAGTTGATATATCAATAAAACTAGGTTCTCTGGTCACGCTCTTCCAAGCAGAAATGATTGCTATAAAATTGGGAGCGAGAGAGTTGATTAATTTTCTCCATGCAAACAAGACTATAAAGATCTTTTCAGATAGCCAGGCAGCCCTTAAGGTCCTAAGCTCCAATCGAGTTGACTCAAAGATGGTTTGGAACTGTATAAATACCCTTGAATGTCTCAGTGCTCGGAACAAAGTTACTTTGAACTGGGTTCCGGGGCAAAGTGGTGTGAAGGGCAACGTAAAAGCTGACGCGCTTGCTAACAGAGGAACCGAATCTGTGTTCATAGGACCAGAAGCATTCCTGGGCATTGCAAAGAGCACTGCCAAAGGAATTATCTGAAAATAGATGGAGGGTGCAACACTCACGAACTGGCGAGATACCCCAGGGCTAACTCATTTATAACCAACCCTTCTATGAACGCCTCTGCTCAGATTCGATAATGGTGTAGGAAAGATCTACGCATTTTCACTGGACTGATGATAGGACACTGCCGTCTGGGCAACCGCATGAGAAGGATAGGTCTGCAACAAACATCGGACTGTCGATTCTGCAGCGTGGAGGGCGAGTCTGCAGAGCACATTCTATGTACCTGATCCGCTCTGGAAAGAACCAGGTTCCAGATCTTCGGATTTACCCGACTGGAGCCTACCGACTTTAAACAAGTCTCACCCATTTCAACCATGGCCTTCATCAAAAGGTGTGGTTTGTACGGTGAACTATAAGTTAGTTATGAGCCACAATAGACCCATCTGGGCCGCAGTAGAAGGCGATGAGGTCATCCTACTCATTTTCAACCTAACCTGGGTGAATAAAGATTACACAGCAAAATGTGGCAGGACACAAACATTCAATCTTCTCGACAGGCTTTTTTGGAAGGATTATCTACAGGATTGAAGGTTCCTTCCGGTAAAGGACGACGTCTAATTATAACCCATATTGGAAGTGATGAAGGGTTTTCATAACGTGGTTCTTTAATATTTCCATCTAAAAAAACCGGAGACTACCATGAAACTTTCATATCACTTGTTACGAAGGAAAATTGGTAAAAGGCAATCGAGCATGTGTTAAAAGAAGAAGAAAACATGTGGAATCTGGACAAAATCTTGGATGTCGATACTACAGTGCCAGCTTTAATAATATCAGTAAATAATGACTCATCAAGTGAATATAGTGATTCAAAGACTTTTACGTTTCCTGATCTTCGAGAGTAGGTAAGCATATCTATTTTATATCTAAATGTTATAATCATATTAGTAAAAAACGCTGCCAGAAACTAAACCACCAAAAAAAGCTCAAAAGCGTGCACGACTGCAAAAACGCAAGCAAAACCGGAGCATGTCAAAAAAGTGGTGAACATATTGAATTTACCAAGTACTTAATATGTTTCCACCAAAAATACACAAAAACAAAAAATTAGCCGTAGACAACAAAAACATTGTTTTTTCAGGGGTAAGTGTTCGTTAAATTACAATTATACATCCAAAAATGTATATCGAATGGACATGTTTTAGTAGTAATGTGTTCATTAAAAAAGTTGCAAATCTTACCTTGTAATCTAACTACACCCTCGGCCTTTCCCAAAGCATTAGACGATGTACAGATGTATCCTCCGAAGTCTGTTTTTTCTAAATCCAAGATTGTCAAATTCATTTGTAGAGAATATTCGTTGATTGATGATTCTTCCATCAGATATTTTGAGCTGGGTATTAGCTTTTCACCTGTAACAAAAGTCCATTATATAAATATGTGTAATATCTGTACGAAAAATATTTTTATTTTAGTTTGATTTTGAGACGGTAAAAAATTATTAATACAATGTGTCTACCGAAATTGTCACTATAACGAACAATTTGTTATTATTTTACGAAAGAAAGTTATTCATTATAAAAAGTTCTGTGTTTCGTTCAAATCTCGTATCGATGAAACTGGCATCCTATATACAGCGGTGATAATATTTTCACCATGTTCAATAATAGATCTCAAATATCTTTTATTTTAAATTATTATTTTATAGTCAAACTCATAATTTTCTATGATATTAATACGCCATCATTTTGAATAAAATAATCCTCATTGTATATTATACATACTGTATAACATTTTATCGTGGTTATAGAATCAAAATATGTCTATATTAGATAAAAGAATGCATAAAAAAAAGCGCAAAGAACTTGTTAACTTACAATTTCCTTTCGATAATTGAAAATGAATGGAAGTTACAATAACTTGCTGGACAACTAAATGAAATATGTTCGAAATTAAAACACAAGTGAAACAAATTTTCCGTTTATCCGAACACAGGAACGAAAGAACTAAAAGATGTAATCGATGATAAAGGTTACGTGCCACATATTTTATAAATGGGGTAAAAGAAATGGTCTCGTAAGTGAAATACTCCCTCATCATTACTTCTGTTGAATACCCTGTACGTGGTAAAATGTTAAAATTATGTGACAGACACGACATGATTTAGCTTTAGTGTGATATATGAAAGAATCTGGAAGACCGTTTTCGGGCAGCGCAGTCAGTAATTTGAAATGTAGGTATCGGCCTGCGGTGGATAGTACAATATATATGGCCCTGTGTCGGTTAAGCTCGGCTCTGGGGAAAAGTGCTTACCGTTGTCCCGCATCCAGTGGTTCATAGCTTTCGGAGATGCTTCTACGTAGCACTGAACGTGGACGTCACTGGTAATCGGCGCTGCTACCAGCTGATTCGATACCCTTATTAACGGATGGACTGAAACAAAAAACGGTATGAATCCAAAATTCAATTTCGCATCGCATAGCTTCGTTATCAAAGCAAAAAAAATACAGCAGATTTTGTCTAATGCATGTACCGGGTGTCTAAATAAGAAAAAAAAATACAGCAAAGTTTATCTAATATAACTAAAAACCGTTTTGAGATATTTAGTTTTGGATTTGTAAAATTGTAAATTCCGTAAACAATAACAGGGTCGTACTTTGATGTCCGATAGATATAATGAAATTAAAATTGTCCCCGATTATTGAAACTAATGGGATATTAAAAAAGACAATTTGGATAAACTGAATAGATGCTTAACATTAAAATGAAAACAACCATTTATAAAAATAATACAAATCATTAACGGCAACTTTCTTATGGACTTCAAGCTTGCAGCTCTACAGGGTGAGCTCTTAGAAGGAGTCAAAAGTATGGAGTGCAGAATTAATATTTTCATATACAGGGTAGCTGTTAAAGATGGAACCAAACCAATAGTGCTTAAACGGTTCAACATACAAAACCCAAAATTTCAGAATTTCAACTAAATACATTTGCGCATATTTTAGCCAAAAAGTTATTTTTTTTGTAATTACAAAATTTTTACCATGGCCGCCATCTTGATTTTTTAAAATAGCAACATAGGTCATGTGATATATCATTTGAAAGGGTTTAACACCCTAATTACCAAAATGTATCACACATGGGGTCTAAACAGAAATTGGCTACCTCTTCGTGCGTGCGTTTTCTTTCTCCATACTCAACCATCATGAGTATTTCAATTCTTTCATTTTTGGTCAATTGATTCATTATTACTAATTACTTTAAAATGATTCAATTTAACAAATTATTTTACTATTCGACACCTGTCTCTTGCAACTTAATCAACAATAAATGTTATTATTACAATCTTTGACGTCTTGTGTCAAATGCACAGCCTCCTACGCTCCCTATTAATAATATCATTTCTGTTGTGTTTATTTACACCGCATGTGTGATACATTTTTGTAATCAGGGTCTTAAACCCTTTCAAATGGTATATCACATGACCTATGTTGCTATTTAAAAAAATCAAGATGGCGGCCATGCTTAAAATTTTGTTATCATAAAAAAAATAATTTTTGGGCTAAAATATGCGCAAATATATTTAGTTAAAATTCTAAAATTTTGGGTTTTTGTTGAACCGTTTAAGCACTATAGGTTTGGTTCCATCTTTAACAGCTACCCTGTATATCTTTACTACTCTTAAGCAATTCATGTGTTTTCCATAAAACTTATGGCACGTCTTACACTTGTATATAGTTTGTCAATTCTTACTTGCACTTTGTAAAATAAATTAGAGTGTTCAAAAAAATTAGGAATATCAGTTACTGAAATAAGGTACATTTTTCATGTATTACTTTAGCTAAAATAAGACTTCTGACCATTTTTTTGTTTTTTACAACACTGGATAATTTTTATAAGTAGTCAGAACTACACAAAAAACTAATAATTACAGAAAAAAAAACACATTTAGCAAAAAACTTGGTATAACTACCTAAAATTATCTAGAAAGAATCTTGAAGCGAAATTAATTTTGCTTATATTATAATCTATATAACTAACCAAATTCCGTTTTACGTCTTCTTTAATTTCGAAATACTACTACTAACCCTCACTTGAATAAATGATTAAGAAGACATATTCCAATTAAAAAGTTATTCCTGATTCTTATATAGAGTACAGCACTTTTTTCTATTTTTGTAGATTAAGTTTTTGCAGTAGTAATTTATTAAAAAACTTCCTATTTTAAATACTGATGATATTTAATTCTGGCCCCTGTACCTAAATAATTTTCTCATGCTATGGAATATTATCTAGGCATATGACATAACTTTTTTATTTCTATTTTTATCAATCAGAATTGCAAAAGAATTCTATAAGCTAAAACGTTGCTTATAAATCTCCGAACAAATGTTATATATGTAGAAGAAGAAATCGAGATAGAATAACTTTCGAGGCAAGATTAGATTTTTATATGAAAACTATGGTAATACTAGGTGCAAAGTAATACTAGGTGTTGTGCTATTTAAACGATACTGCTGTAATCCAACCCCGTTTTTTTGAAAATGCTCATAAGTCTTATTTCAGCTAAAGTAATACATGAAAAATGTACCTTATTTCAGTAACTGATATTCCTAATTTTTTGAACACTCTGTATAATTTATTTTACAAAGTGCAAGTAAGAATTCACAAATTATATACAAGTGTAAGAGGTACCATAAGTTTCATGGAAAAAACATGAATTACTTAAGAGTAGTAGAGATATATATGAAAATATTAATTCTGTATTTCATACTTTTGACTCCTTCTAACAGCTCACCCTGTAGAGCTGTAAACTTGAGGTCCATAATAAAGTTGCCGTTAATGACCTGAAAAATAACATACTAAAATTTGAACAAATTCTGTCAGTACCCAAAATCAATGTAAAAAGTGCGGGGTCCTTTCTCATCATCATGATTTTGTGCCTTATACGTACAATAAAAATAGTATTTGTTTTAAAAATTAGGAATTTTCGGAGAGGGCCATTGCCATTAGCCATTCCTTTTTTTTACCATATTTTTTTAATAAAAGACTCATGGATTGTAAGTATTTTAATCTTGGGGGTCCATTGCCCCATGATCCTCTATCTGGAGCCGCCCTTGGTTCAGTATCACTACCGTCCTCATTAATTACATGTTCAACTGAATTTTTCCAGCTCACAATAGGAATATCATCTGTCACACTTCTAATTAATTGTATTACCGTTGGGTTTAATGTGGGCGATACATTTTCAGATTTAACTCTGGATTTTATCTAATTTCACATGTGTTCCATCGGGTTGAATATAAAGATTGATCCACAAAAATGTATATAAAATAGGCCCTGAAAAAAACACGTATGTCTAGTTCATCGACGGATTATAAAGCCTTTTTCTTTTTATAATTTGTTATCCATAATTAACTTATTCTAAAATGACAGTATAGTAAAAGTAAAAGATACCCACAGTTATCCTTTTAACATCACTACAGTGGCTTTATTTAGACAGGTCCTGGCGACTGGCGACACAAACTAAAATATCCTTATATTATTTACAAGTGTTTGTTGAGATGAAACATTAATTAAAGATACATCAAATGTTCACTAAAATGTAATCCTTTAAAACAAAGAAGACACTAAGTAGTTTACCACATAATTTTATTGTTTACAAGCCGCGACTAGTTTCGCCTTCTATGGGCCATCATCAGGCAAATTGATGCGATGTTGTGACTTAAAAACAAAATTAATTTAAAACCTTTTGAATAGAACCAAACCAAAGGAACTTACGATTATAGTAGGCTGGAGGTAAAATTTGTGAAGGAAAGGGATTAACTCAAGTTAAAGAATGGGTAAATAATAAATTATAGAACCGATTTCTGGTCTCATAAAAAAGGAACTATCTACATAAAATAACAAATTAAGAGACTACCAGAAATTAGAGCTATTGAGATAAGACGAAAGTGGAGAATAGGGAAGGAGTAACAGAAAGTTTATGTAAAGGGAAAGTGTATCATACTGACTCGACCCAGAGTCAGAGAGGCATAGTCTATGCCACATGATAAGTGGAACAACAAAGTTTTAATTAACTTAAATGAACATCGTTGTGCGGAAGTTTCGGGTAGATTGGCCAAGCTAGTTGGCAAAAAGGAACGTGATAGAGTTGTTAACAAATATAAAAGTGATAGACTTATAAAGAACTAATACGAGGGGGTAAAAATACAAAGAAAAGAAGAAGAGAAAGGGAGTGAATGATAGGAGTAAGTAAGGGAAGACAAGAAGTGGGAGTAATTGAACTTTCTTATTTTACTCCAGGAAGAACAGGATCCATCTTTTAGTGGTGTGTTCTAAATGCAACATTATTGGAACCACAAACCTTGTGGGGTAGATGGAGGTAAGCCTGAAGGCTTAAATAGTTTGCAGCAGTTAAATTAAAATACATTTTCGATATAAAATCACTATTCAGAACTAACCGTGAACGATGGCGACAAAATTATAATTAATTATGATTTCGTCTTTCCCCACTTTATTTTCCTTCACAAATTTTACCTCCCTCCACTTCTCAACCCTTTTTTGTACATCTTTTCCGTTTACTCCAGAACTCATAGAAGATTTTGAGAACATAAAACAAGATATTGCATATTGCAAAATCGTTTTTATGTTGCATGAATGATGACGATATTCCAGTAGTAGAGTCAGACGCTTCTGATTTTGCAATAGCTGCTACGTTTTTAAATTGGGAGACATTTCAAATTAATAACCGACCAATAATCTGTGTCATTCATGTTTCATGAAAAGCATTCACGGAAAATTAAAAAATATTGAGCTGGAGATTAGAACTTTCATGTTTTAGTTATGCCATTATTTATCGTCCAGGACCCTTTAATGTAGTCAGCGACTGCTTTTCAAGAATCTGTGGAGCTACGATACTTCAATATTCATCATTCATTATGTCATCCTGTAATAAAAAGGATGTACCATTTGGTAAGAAGCCGCAATTTGCCATACTCATTAGGTGACATCAAGAAAATGACTACATCTTGTCCTGTATGTGCCGAAATTAAGCCTCGTTTTCATCAAACTAAGAAAGACATCTAATTAAGGCTACTAGTCCATTTGGACGTTTAAATATTGATCTAAAAGGTCCATTGCCTAGCAGCACAAAAAATAAATACATGCTAACAGTGGTTGATGAATATTCACGTTTCCCATTTGCATTTTCTTGTTCCAATTTGCATTCATCTACTATTATAAATTGCCTCAGTCAACTATTTTCTATCTTTGGATTACTCTCAAGGAGTTTGTTGACTTTCTTCATTTCCTTAATATAGCTGTGAGCAGAACTACTGCGTATAACCCAGAAGGTAACGGACAAGTTGAACGCTATAACGGAATCATATGGAAAAGTATTAATATGTCATTAAAAACTAGAAATTTGCAGC